CGCCCCAAGTGCCAGGATGTCTTTTGTATTTTGTCTTTTGTCTTTTGATTATTTTTTTTTTTTTTTTTTTTTTTTCGTGTGTGTGAGAGAGAGAAGGGGGCGGACTGTGCCAAGCTGTCCGTTATGTGACTCTGACACGTGCTACTTCGTTTCTTCTTTGCGTTTTGCCTTCCCGGAAATGCTCCAAGATGCTCTCATGTCAATGCTRCTCCCGACAAGTCCCCCACGCGAAGAGCAACTGCGAAGCAGATTGAATGCTGCTGATTGTTTCATCATTCATACAATGCAAAACCCCTGCTTCTTAACATCAGTGGCACTCCTATTGTTGTTGGAGGTGACTTCCAACTTCCCCGGGCCAATCATCAATGACATCATCCGAGCCCACCAAAGTGAGACTCGCCCACACACGCATGCACTTGCGCACATAGTGAAAAAACTCAACAAGTAAGCATGGGGCATGCATACATGCAAGATGGGTTGATCACAAACATATCCAGAGAACACAGCAAACAAAGTCTGAATCTGAATCTTTAGCTGCAAAAACATCAACGGGACAATGGACAGGATTTTCTCAGAAAAGTGGAGGAGTTCTTGCACATCACAAAACAAAAACGATGCTGCGAAGGTAATGGCTCCCCAAACAAAACACTCAAAGATAAAGGGAAAAAAAGGCTCGGCGGAATATGATAGGGGAGTTCCTTATGCTTTTTCTTTCTTTTGTGCTTTTTTTCCTTTTCTGTTTTTGCGGGCGAAGCCGCAACGGGTCATCTAGTTGTGATAAGTAGCCAACCACATTTGACAAATGCCCACAATCCGTTTCTTCACGGAGGTCGTGAGAGGACGAGGCACTTATTTGTTGGGTGAGGCACCTATTTGCTGGGGGGTAATGTATCCTCGACTGAAGACCACAAGAGCCAGCAGCAAGGAGTGACCACAAGAAGTGGGCGTGTTTCAGCAGAGAGAGACCAGGATCATTGCACGTCTTAGCTGAAATATGAGACATAGTTGAAGTGAAAGTTGCAGCTCGACCTTGATTCAGGTGTCGCTTGCATGGTGATGGGGGCAACACGTCCAAAGTATTGGTAGTGTGCCTTTGTTGTATGTTTGTACTATCTAACGTTACGGTTTGGCACCATTGTGTGCGGTGCAATCAGGCTTGCCTGGCTCAAAGGAGAAGATGCTTGAGCAGAACTAGGACTCGGTATCTGATTGCACGGGGCAGCAAGGAGAGGGAGAGAAACAAGAAGAGCCAAATATCCCATTTCCCAAGATGACAGGAAGGAATTGGGGGTGAAACAGGTTGTTCTTGATCAATGACGAGACCGTTGTGGAGGGGCAGGTTGAGAGGAATATGTGTAGAGGGGGTAGACGAATGATGTGGGGAATTACAAAAGAATTCTCCCAGTTTAAAAAGGCCTGTGATGGTGAGCGTGGAGATGACGAGTTTTTATAGGAATTGAAACAGTTGTTTGTAGGTGGGAGGGAGAGGCCAAGGATAAGGTGGATGGTAGGGGAGTTGAAGGTGGTGGTGTAGAGGGCAAAAACCGGAAGGAGAGGGAGGCAGGTAAGGGACAGAACGTGGACACGAGTGAGTGACTCGGAGAAGAGCGGAGGCCAGATAAAGAGGCAGCATTTGAAAGGGAATGAGAGTAGTACGTAGGCAATCAGGTGGACAGGGAGCAGGGACGGCAACAAGGATGAATGGATTTTGGGGAAGGTGATGGTAGAATTCCTGTTCCTTGTTTTTTCTTGTTTGATTCGTTTCTATGAGAGAGAGAGAGAGAGAGAGAGAGAGAGAGAGAGAGAGAGAGAGAGAGAGAGAGAGAGAGAGAGNGAGAGAGAGAGAGAGAGAGAGAGAGAGAGAGAGAGAGAGAGAGAGAGAGAGAGAGAACCCCACAAGTTGTGTGCTCAGAGTGTTTCGTCTGTACAGTGTAGGGATTGCCTGCCTATCTCCAGTTTCGAACGTATTCAAATTGTTCAAGGAGGAAGCTCAGACAAAACCGGGGAAGAGCACACTGTCATTATTATTCGAATACAACTTTTCCTCGTGTAAACATGTCTGAGCTCTGGCTAGACTCTGTGTATTGGAGAAAATATATTCTGAAAACAGTTGTATATGAATCAGCTAGTTAGTTCTTAGCAATGCGTTTTTTGCGGGGAAGTTGGATTTAACGAGGTGTTGGATTTTGCACAAAATATCTGTATCATGTCCTCATTCGACTACTACTAGTTTTTTTCCGATGGCCCCTGTATATCCAAATAATGCATTGCTCAACTTCTGTTCCAGTGGGCAACTGTTGCTGTCTTTTTTTCCCTGTATTTGCTGTCAGTTTCCTGTGTTTGTTTTCTGACTGTTCTGCATATTCTGGCTTAAAGATTGAACCCACATGCTCACCTGAGTGCAGGACACACGCTTGCCAGAGGAGTCGATACATGACTTTGCCAGGGATCTTGTGAAGGCATTCCAGTAAGGACGGCAAACTCTTTCTGTTGGACTATCTTCTTATCCGTCTCCTCAGCAACCTTCACCGCTTTTTCTGTTGATGTCTTTGGCAATTCTCTTTGACGTAGAACAGCTGGGTGATGATCTTATCTTCTGTTGATGGCTGTGTCCACTCTGCTGTCTCCTTCACCGTTTTGCCTGTGTACTGCTCTGAGTTCCCTTGCTGCAGGCTGTTTTTTTTATTCCTGTGTTTGTTTGTGGCGTGTTCGTGTAAGCAGAGTGGGTCATCGACTTGATAGGCCCCTATGCATGGTCTTCATGTGATGGATTTGTCGTCCTGATTTAACTACAGCAGGGTTTAATGTTGGCAGGTTTCTCCACTATTGTAGGGAAAGCAGAGAACAGGGAAATGGGATGTACTCTCATATTGACAGGTTTCGTCACTATTTTAGGAAACACAGCGAAGAAGTGCTCCGTTTCCCATTTTGGTATTTTGCTTGCGCTGGAAGATGGAAGGCTGTTAGCAACTTCCCCTCAGCCATGGTCAGGAGTCGCTAACTGTGTGCCAAACAGTGGCACTGGCACACCAAAAATGTTGAAATGGACAGCTATTGAGAAAATCAAGAATCACGAAAATTTAAGAAAAAACAGATTCTTTTGTATTCATGAATTCAACATATGACATTTGGGGGCATCCTCCTGCTAAAGTTGCTTGGTATAGGTATCGATGACATCTGACATGGCGTATGGTGGACCAAAGTCTTTCTCAGTGTGCATTTCGTGTCCTTTTCTCTCTTTGTGCCAACAGTTCACAGGGCAGTTCTCTGTGACTAAGGAGGGCCTCACTCCACTACATAAGATTTTGAATTTATCTGGAGCTGGTGAGAGTCCCAGTACATTCAAAATGTTTGATCAGTCCAAATGTATCCTGTGGGCCTCACGGTCCATGTACGCGTTGAATGTCGAGTAGTTGAGCGAGGCCTGATATATTCGGTCGCCTGATGAGTTGGTGAAACTTTGATGTCACAGCCCCCCCTTTTCTCATCCTTTTTTTTTCGCTTTTCTACCTACGGTGCACTTGGCATTTCTCTGTGACCCTCAAGCAGCCACCACTGTTCATGTCTGTAACAAACTGGTGTGCCACCAATGCGTGTTCAGTTTTGTTACTTCAGTGAAGTGGCCTTGTGTTGCTTCTCGCATGACCTCACCTGACTCTTCAACGTACAAATGCTGCAGAGCCTTTCCTCATTGTTCCGATCCTTTCGATGGCCACATCGTCTGTTGATTAGAATACCATTTCTGATGATGGCTTTGGCAAGCCTTTTTAGAGAAGGCTCTAAGGAGGTATCACTTGAATGGGAAACTGTTGATCTGCTCCATGTGCTGGCAATTGGACTTGACAGGTACATTGACAAGGACAAACTTTTGCAGGCCAGGCAGCCTTGATCTTCTTTTTCTTCCTCCTCTGTTTCTCACATGTTGAACAGAGGGTGTTCTGCAATCCTCTCACATTGTCAACCCAATGCGCCCTTGTCGTCCTGTCGTGTGAGCCAGCCACATTGACTTCGTTCGACACATTCTGCCTTGTGCCAACTTCAACAGCACTTGGCCAATTTGCTGCAGTCATCAGTATTTGCTACTTCTCTCCGCCCACTTGGACTCCCATTGACACGTTCGTGTGAGAAGTTCCTGTTAACTTGGGCATAGACATTTTCGAAGAAGAGGATAGGCGCTGTAAGTTTTTGGTAGGATGTAGCGCTGTAAGTTTTCGAAGAAGAGGATAGGGGCTGTAAGTAAGTTTTCGAAGAAGAGGATAGGCGCTGTAAGTTTTTGAAGAAGAGGATAGGCTTTGTAAGTTTTAGAAGAAGAGGATAGGTGGTGTAGGTTTTCGAAGAAGAGGATAGGCGCTGTAAGTTTTCAAAGAAGAGGACAGTCCCGTTGACACATTCTTTGCTGCCTCATTCAGGGACATAGCATTGTCTAGGATGTAGCGACCTGGAATGAAGCCTGCTTGGTTGATGTGAGAAAGCATTTATTCGTTACCTTAGCTATCCTATTAGCTAGAGTTTTTGGTAGGAGCTTCTACGGAGTAGTCAGCAGAAAAATCGCTCTGTAGTTCTTTAAAGTTTAAATCTTCTCTTTCTCCTTTCTTGTGCAGTGGAGAAACCCTGCTCGTGCTCCAAAAAATTCCCAGACCTTTGTCGTAGCTGTTGTTGAAGAATGGTAAGAGTGAGCTCCCTGAGGGTTGGCCGGAAACGTGCCCAAAAAAGCCTTTGTCATACTGTTGAGCTCTGAGGCCTTGTTGTTATCATCCTTTGCAAGGGTCTTGTTTACTTTCAGGGTGAGAATGTTGTCCTGCTGTGCTGCCAGGTCCCGAGAGCCTGTCCTCTCTGCTCTGGGATGCAACTGTCTGAGCAGGTTGGAGTGCCTGAGGGTGTATGATCACTTGGCACGGGGGAGGCTGCAAAGAATAGGAATGGGGGAGTGGTAAATGAGAAGGCGACGACTGAGGAGAGTGCATCCGAAGGAATGGCTGGAAGCAAGGTTGCTGCTCATATTTATATGTATAGTACGCCATTCTCCCGAGGGAGGTGTCCTCTCGTTCCAATCTTCCTGGGGCGTGCGTTGTGCGACACCCCCCTTCCAAGAGCCTCTCCTTTCCTCTTCCTCTTGTGACTCGCCATTGCTTCTTCTCATCAGTTCAATTGGCCTTCCCTTGCCTACCGTCGCTTCCTCGCCCGCATAAGATCCACGTGTGTTAGGTGGCATGTTTGGCGAGGCTAGCAAACCAAGGCAACGATGACTTGTGGTCTTTAGGCATAATGCTGGCAATGGTGGCGAGTGCGCAAATCTTTGACAGCACAAAGAGTTGGTCAGCGCAGAGCCTAGTAAGCGGATCCTGGTAGGGCACTGCTTCAGCAAAACACCACGTGAATGGAGGCATGCACAGCGACTACGCTAGCGAACGTGGATGTGCAAGGATGATGAAAATGGGGAGGACAGGCAAGGTTTACGGTAGGTGGGACCCTGTCGAGGACGCCATGGATGGGGTTTGGTGTGCTTGTTGGAGGTCGACATGCTGTGGTCAGTCAGCCTCTGGGTCAGGACCCATACAGTAGCTGGGTTAAACCTCCAGTACGCCCTTGGTTGAACTGTTGCAGCCTCGGCATTGGAAAGCTTAACAGGTTGAACCACCAGTACACCCTAGGCTAAATGTGTGAGCCTAAATTTCAATTTGAATTTCGCCTGGTCTGAAAGCGGCCGTTAGCACCGCTTGGAAAATGGAGGTTGGTACCGGTACCAGCCTCTCTTGGATTGAGTGCAGGACCTGTTGCCAGCACATGGAACGAAGGGGAGGCCGCTGCTTTCACTCATGTGCCTCCCCAGCCATCAGATTCGTCGAGGCCTGGCCACAATTGCAGCCAGAAACAGTCAGGAAAGTGCCAGTGTGAGTATGCCCTTCACAGAATCAGGCTGACACTTTGATTCGTTTCTTCCCCAGCTCTCATGGCATGGAGGCGGGGAAAAGTCACTTCAGAAAGGGCATACATTTCTCGGGAAAAAAAGGAAAAGAAAAGAAAGAAAGGAAAGGTAGACTCGCGGTACAAATCTTCCCACTACGCTCTGAACGTGGCTGTAGGCATATTCATGCATGCATGACCGTAATTACAGTCAGATACATTCAGGGAAGTGCTACTGGTAGTGTGAGTATGCCCTTCACAGAAACGGGCTGACACTCTGATACGATTCCTCTGTGCCTCTCCCGGTGTGAAAAGGTGACTTTTCACCTTGGCATAGTCTTCTTTCCGAAAAAAAAGAAGAAAAAGAAAATAAAAGTAAACAGACTCACACCAGGACTTTTTCTACTAGGTCTGGACATGATTGCCATCAGATTCGACCAGGACAGGCCGTAATAGCAGTCAAATACATTCGCATGACTGCTAGCCACAGTATACCGTAAATCTATATGGGCTGAAGATTCGGTTTGTTTCAGTGGCCGCCTCTCATGGCAAGGAGGCGGGCACTGATACGAGTGAGGGAACACACACTAGGCCCTATTTCTTTTATGCTTTGGACGTGATTGCTAACAGATTCATCTACCCCGACGGTCGGCACCGCGTATTTACAGTCAGATACAGTGTTGCATACTCTGACAGTCAGCACCCCTTGACTGGTCGGCACCTACTGGTCGGGGGTCGTCGGCACCCCGCAAAAACAAAGGAAAAAAAAACCCCAATAGCCCAACCAAAACCCCCATAGCCGTCCCCAATACCCCCATACGCCCCCCCAACACCCTCATACCCCCCCCCAATACCCCCTATACCCGCCCCCTCCACACATCTAGATGTGTATAAGAGACAGGCGCAGTACAGCCCGCAACTCAAATTTGAAAAAAACGATCAGTGGATGGGTGTTTTCTGACTGGTCAGCGGACTGCCTACTGGTCGGCTGCAAAACGGTCGGCGGTCGGCAGGTATGCAACCCTGGGCAGATACATCTAGAAAAGTACCACGTTGAGTTTCTGACGTTCGTTTGTTTTTTCTTCTTTTCTGAACCCCCCTTGGTGTCTCATCCGTGCATGTGTTTCCACATGCACGGAGATTCTTGAGGGAAATGAGTAGTCCATCTGCACTTTTTGTTGGGCCCACTGGATTACTCCCCCATTGCACTGCTGGGCCTTCCCTGAGTCCCAAAGAAAAACGAATGAGATTCCAAAGTTTTTGAAGTTGTCTGGGGCCATGTACTGGTGGTTCAGACCACCAGTACACGGCCCCAACCTTGCTGAAACGAATGAATTCGGACTCTGAAGGTGAGGGCACAAGGAAGTAGAACGTGATACTGTGGACCCTGTTTTATTGAGCCTATGTCACGAGCTGATGGAAGGTGAGGGCACATGCAGGAAGTGTGTGCTTGCAGTGTGATACTCTTACCTTCCAGCCAGCCATGGCGAATCCAGAGGGCAGCTTTCGTCACGTGGCGGCGTTGAAAGTCGAGAAAGGGTGAGGACAC